CATGCGGGAATATTTCTTAAATACATCGTAGATCCTTTATAATTTTTAATTCCTGACTGTTTTACATTAGCATGCATCATAATCACATCATTGCATGATCTATTACACTTATTGCCGAGTAATTCATGCAAAAATGTATGAAATCATTTTCCTAACAATTCCTTACTTTGATATAACGTCACTTTTGTTACGTCTTTTAAAAATAGAATACAACGTTTTGCGAACTCAGATCTAGTAAAATTTAACTCACGTTTTTGTCGGAGATTATATATGTTGCGTGGTTAAGGTATCAAGTTTGACCGAGTTTACCTGACTTAGCGATCTTGGAGCACGTAGGTAGATTGCACAATATTTGGCCAATACAGGCTCTAGGTCTAACCGGAATAAGATAACATTTTTATTGATCAATTACTCCCACCTTGTATTAAAATATATTGCGATAGATTTAAAACATAGTTTGGAACACTTTTTAGTGGCTTTAGCATAAACATAGTATACCATTATTGAATAATATCCATTTAACCCTACATACATCTACATCTCTTATTCATAAAAACTAAATCGGTCTCGTTCTTTTAACCAAAGTCTACTCTTTCATCTTTTCTTGTCGAATTGTTACCCCGATGAAACGTTGTTTGAAAGAGACAGGAGCGCTTTAATAAAAACAATAAAATTGGTCGGATATAGTTCTATCAATAAGGAGAATTGTATTTATATTGTTTCACAATATTTTATTATATTATAAATTGAAATTATTGCAACAAATCTACGGAAAAACGGTAAAATTTGAGATTTCCCAACAAATATACGGATCTGGTGGCCCTGGGATCATACAATCATTTCGGATTGAAACACATAGTACGCGAAAGTGAAAACCTAAAGAAAATAAACGCAGAAATGTGTAAACATTACAGTATGAATTAAGCATTTTATTACAAATAAAGAAGGAAATCTATATTTATGAGATAATAGCCATACATGCTGTATGTGGGGCAGTCTCTTTTCTAAAATATACTCTAATACTTTTTTATATACACTTTGTCTCTGGTATTTAACGTGTCTGTTCAGTTTCGTATAAGCAAGCCAATGCAGCTGTGCAGAGCTGCGTAAGGCCGTTTCTCCACTGCTCCGGTCCGGCAAACGTTAATTACCGATCCGATTTAGAAACTCACAACAGTACTTACATGCTTCTCCACTACTCCGGCATCCGGTTTTTAACTATCCGATAACTTGCTAGATCGGAACGCGACGTTTTATCGGTCCAAGTTTATCCAAGTATCCAAGAGGTTATAAATTATTATTCACAGGGTTATTTTTATAGTTTGTTTAATTTGAAAGAATCTGGATAAGCTGGACCAAATCAAATTATGTTCCTATTTATTTATATTTTTATACGATAGTATTAGTGAACTATTTATTAAGTAGATTATAATATTTTAAGATAGACAAAATAAAAAAGTAATAAACTTGCCAGGGCAATAAATATTCAGAATTTAGAACGTTTTATTAATAAAATAAAGTATATGGGTTTTAGTTAATATAGGTGTTGCATGATAAATATATACAAGTATCGATTATTGTCGGATCGGATATATTGGAGAAGCGCACTCCGGCCTTTCGATGTTTATCTCATGACTCATTCCGGTATCCGACGCCGTACCGGAGCAGTGGAGAAAGGGCCTAACAGTGATCTGTGCGTGAATTGCGCTCATTATTGTGTCACCTCGCAGTTTCAAAATTATACGTATAGCGCAAGTCACGTGGGTCGTGTTTTAGGATAATAATAATTAAATAATCCAGTGGCGCTACAACCCTATATTGGCCTCAGATTGCATTCTATTGTTTGAATAGGCTAGTAGGTAATTAGTCTTTTATCTTTTGTTTTTTGGGTTTATGACAATCAGGTTATGTCCACTATGTTTTTCTTTTACCGTAGGCTAATTGCATACATAGCATGGAGTTTCCATTGGTGCACAGTCGCGATTCAAACACACGACATAGGGATGAAGGTTGACGCTTAAGCAACTAGGCCAACACTGATTTTTAAGATACATCTCTTAAAGTAATGGAAATTTACAGTACTTACGTGGTTGACCTAAAATATAAAAAATTAAGAATAAGAAAAGTTCATATTAAACAAACTTTATATTGTTATTAATGTCAAAAGTAATGATGTAACTGTCAATAAGTTAGCGCATTTTAGGAATAACGCAATGAGCGGCTCAGTAAGGGACTGAGCTAGCGCATTTGGATTGAGATTTGTATAAGATTAATTACAAACTATTTCACAACATGTTGTTACATTCTACACCGCAGAAGACATTCGTGGAACAGAAACAATTAAAATGTCGTTAAGTTTACAAACACGGTGAATGTATAATACTTGTCTACCGTTAAGGAAATTCAACATTTGCGTAAGAGAATAAGTACTATATAAATGTAGATTTACAATAACCAAACCTAGGCAGATAAAATCAAACTATGAAAACTCATTTATTACAATGATTTTGTCCGTAAATAATCACAAAAATGAGATATATTAGACACATCGTACAACAAGTGTAGATAGTACAAATTGTGGGTCACGGCCTCAATGATTGATTGAATATCACATTAGCGAGAGTTGAAACTGTGAGACTTGCAAAACAATGACTAGTTACTAGTTAGTAATCCGCGTAATCTATTGACAAACAATAAGAATTGATGTAGATGGCGCTTAACTAAACTAACGTAGAACGTTGACTCGTGGTTAATTGTCAAAGCTATGGCTAGTCTTTTGGGAATTCTATTTTCAAATTAGATATTTGATTACTTTATTTTTAAATACGCCATAGGTTCTGTTTCACGCGATTTATATTGTTTTAAGCTGTGACGACGTTAGTTTTTAAGATGTATTATTATTACTAAGTAGGTTGATAACGTAACTTATATAAATATTGGGAATACCAATTCGACTTAGGAACTTCTTCCTTCCGTCCTTAGGAAAAGAGCGTACCAATTCTTAAATGCCGGCACAGCGAGCCCTCTGTCATCGAGAGCGTCCATATCACTTAACTTCAGATGAGCCTTCTGGACGTTTGCCCCCTGTTCTATAAAAAAACTTGTGTAAAATAATACATATAATATAGAATGTTGAAACAATAAAAGGCGAAAGATAATCCTGAATATGATAAATTCGGATGTAAACAACCCTGTTTGCAGCAATTGATATTTGAACGTGACTCAATGTATCACATGAATAACACTGACACCTGCGGTTAACCATACGCAACAATTGTTTTTAGTGTAACACAGATTGTACTTTTTGTATCTGTGTTTGAAATCCCACTGAAGGAGACAAGACCTTGTTGATTATTTACATAATTAAATTCTCCACATAGGAAGTTAATTTAAATATATTAAGCTAACACGTTTGACCAAGGTCGAAGTTTTACTAGTTAATTGATAATTTATAACTTTTTCCCTTTGACTTTTATGTGTTATATATCACTGTTTCTCACTCAATAGACGCGATAATAACACAAAGTTATTGCGCCATAACCACTGAAAGCATTCCATATAAAATACCACTCGTTAGATTGACTTGGAATCGGAAAGATTAGACTATTATTTGTCTTAATTATATGCAGATAGGACATAATTTTTGCCGTTGACTTAGTCCCTCAAGATAAGAGTGTAATTCTCAAAGGCCGGCTACGCACTCTTGAGCCCTCTGGCATATAGAGTTTCCATATTACTTAACATCAATAAGCCTCCTTTCCGTTCGTACCCTATTTTATAAAAAAAGCATGCTTTAGCGAGCTATTAAATTTAATAATGATTTAATGAAGACGCTTTAGATTTGGCGATAAAAAATTAACGGTATTAATTGTTCGAATTTGGTCATGAGAACCTTCACGACACTATTGCCTCCCTATTTAGTATCAATAGCAAAATGTATACAAGATATTGTAAAGTAATTCTATCTCTCGATACTTGTTTGTTGCACAACCGTGTGTATTTAGTGTTGTAATTATTGACCATGACATAGTTAAGTCTATCCTAAAACAGTGGCTATTGTGTGCGAATCTGTTCTTAGTGTAACCCATAGTACACTTTATACGTCAAAACGCATTTAAAAACGACGGTTCACCAACTATCTGAAATGTATCTATTCTTTTGTCAAAAGTGAATACAATTCTAAATGTATTATGTTAAAATATTCTCGAATCCTGGTGTATAATACATTGATGAAACTGTCATCTAACATTGATCTTTGCACCTATGACCTACACAATTAATCTCATTTGTCAGCAATCTTACTGTAGATTTAAATTACAGATAAAAAATATTTTTGGTACTTAACATGAAAAGCCCCATTCGTTATTATTATTATATACCTAATAAACATTTGAAGCATAGCACACACTTAAATAGCTATTATTATTTAAAAATAAAACACATACGCAAAGACCTTGTATCTGGGTTTCAATCAAAATTAATATTTTCAGTTGTACGCAAAAACATTCAGAAAAACGATTTCAAGGAGGTTTAGAAGGAAGAAGCGTAATTCAAATATTTAATCTTATTTTCTTGTTTAAGTTTTGCGTGCACTAATGTCGGCCTTAATGGAATTGTGTATTGTGTCAAGAATTAATCGCTACGTTATTCAATTTATCCTTCAGAAGTTCACTAGATTGTTCGTGCACAATAATTAATTGGAACTGGTTTTAAACTTATATGTTTTCATATGTTAAGCTTCTAAGGACGTTATCAACGTGTTTACAAAATGTAAAAGGCATATTCTAGATGGACGTTCTTAATATTGCGTAATCTTTTTATTTTAAATATTTGAACAACTATATTATATGTCATTTAATATTCATTAATATACATGCCCCAAGCCTTCGTTATTTAATGTACAAACCGGTTGAAAAACCTTTAGTCTAATGCCAGCCGGCGGGGCTGATGCTAATACATAATTGAATTCTATTATTAGTGTGGTGCATAAAAACTTTAAAATGAGTTTAGACGGTGTAAGCGAAAGTGACAATTATAGAAGTGAACCGGATGTCAGTTGCTGGAATTGTTTTTCATCTGAAGATGGTGACAAGGAGGTCAGTGTTCAACCGATCCCTCTGCCAAAGATTAGAGAAGAGCAGAGGGAAAAACTAAAGTTGTACTCTTTTTTGGCAGCCGAAATAAGTAGACCAAAGGTTGTATCATTAAAGCAAAAAGTTGGTGATCATTATGGTGTGACCAAAAAAATTGACGAAAAAATTGGGAAAAAAGCCGACCCTGTAAAATATAAACAAGTGGCAGAAAAACATTTCGAAAAGGATAAAAACACAAAATCTTTTGAAGGAAAAAGTAAACAACCCGAAACGAAAGTAAAAAGTAGTATTTTAAGAAGTATGGATTCACAAGAAATTTTAAGAAAAAAATTATCTTTACAAAAACAGAAGGCTATTGAGTCCCATTCTACTGCGGCAGCTAAGGTGAGTCTTGCTATGGCGAGAAACAAACTCAATCAGTCTCGAAGCGAAAAGAATTTGCAACCTGTGAAACCAATTAAACGAAAAATTATAGCTCAAATTGATAGAACGCCTAGTTCTTCTTCTGCAGAAGATGTTGCAAAGTATAGATCATCTCAATCATTCGATTCTTCGGGAGCATCTGCCAATATTAAATCTTCTATAGAAAATAAATACCCTGATGTTGAAACTATAAGTAATTCATCATTATTGTCGTTAAGTAGAAGTCAGTCTCCTGCATCACTGAAACACATATTAGACACTTCTAAAGACTCCAGACTGGATGATAGCAGTTTTAGCACAAGTAAAGATAAAGAACCTGACGAAGTTAAAGTTTTACATAAAGTTCAGATCGAGACATCTACTCCGAAGGAAAATACATCTTCTGTATCATCAGATTATGAGCAAGAAAAAGTAATAAAGTCTTCAAATATTGAAAGCAGTTTAAGTAATGATAACGAAGAATTAGCGTTAAAAGAAAAAGCAGATAATACAAGTTCTAATGGCTCTGAATCAGGATATGCTGGGTCAGTAGCTACAGTTCAAGATGTAGCAGAAAATGAAGAAAATAACGTTGAAAAACTGACGGAAGATCTTCAAAAGTTAAGCATTCGAGAACAATTTAAAACTTCTCTTCCGGCTCTTAATAAAGTAGAAAAGAAAATATTGAAAATGCCTTCATCTTCAGTTGGAGGAGACCTGAATCTTGTCCATAAAAAATCACCTAAATCAATAAGATGGAGTACAGCGACGTTGCCAGCTCGGGCTTACAGTGTAGAAGGTAACTAGTAATATTCTTTATTTTAAATAGTTTTTTCACGTAATTTGATTGTGACTTGCAAAAAAGTGTGAACAAAATCCTTCTCCATATATAATAATAAAAAATTGTAATGTCCTGCTGTGGTCGTGTGCGTGTTAATTAACGTAATTGCTCAGGATATACCTCGATAGCCTGGTTTATTGGTGGCTGACTAGTCATATGGTAATATTGGTAGCATTGTGCACTGGACTCTGTACGCAACAGGAAATGTACGACGCACGGGAAATGTGATAACTTGTAAAAATACTAAAAATAAATGTTATATCGTTTTGGACGCGTGTCACAGTAGAATTTTAACAATGGCTTTAGTTACTTCGCCACACCCGGGTTACACTTCAATACGAAGAACTATACCGAATTCAAATGTCTCGATAAATCGTTATGAGCCAGTGAATATTTACAATATTAGTACAAGTGAATATATAGATCCAAATAAGAAAACATGTTTTCAAAAGTGTTTTGAGTGCTGTTTTCCTTGCTGTACGTCTAGTTATCAAGTGTTTGAGTCTCCTTTAGATGATCCGAATTCGTCTTTAGTCGGCCATGTGAAAAAAAGTTATACTCTTAAAAGGAACGTAAGCAATACTTCACCACAACCGAGCATAAAAATAACTAAAATCAACGATGGTGAAACGATATCTTTGAAATCAACTACAAAATTATTGCTGTCATCGGAACAAGACGCTAGTCACGGACCCTCCAAAGAAAAACAATTTTCTGAACTCAGTGTTTCAGAATCTCGAAATGACTCAGGAAATAACAGCAATTGCAGTACCCTTCGCACTGGTGAGAAAGCTTCATTCATTCGCGAAATTCTGGCGTATCGTGATTCGTTTTTAAAATCATTGGAGTGGTGTGACAATTCCCTTACGAGGGGCAAAAAGTGTCGATACATTAAACGTGATGAGTGGCTTGAATTGCAGACGGATGGTACCAAGAAATCTGTTTTCATTTTACAGTGCACGCATGCACATTACTTAGAACTAAACAACAGCTCCACGTCAATTTGTTTAGCAATGTTTTATTTGCCTTTTTACAAAGCACCTTCACACAATTACTCTAATTCGAACATTTTTTTATAACATCACCGCATATTTTACACAAAGATAAATAATTAAACGTAAATAACTATGAATACATTTAAATATATTGCATATTTATAAATACTAAACAAAGGATCGATTGCACGCCATACGATATTATACTTAACCGATAAAATTATTTTTATGCGAGAAGTCTTAATTTGCATGAACTGAACTTCTTAATACAAACAGTAACGCTGTTATTTGTTTCAGATGAAGTATACATGTCGGACAACCTGTCTCCTGGCCATGCAACCCTGCCAAGAAGATCCAGCTCACCCTTGCCACATGATGCTGACAGAGACAGGTTTTCACTCAACAGGAGTGGACTACAGGTATGCAAATATATAAGCAGGTAAAATTCTTTCTAAATTTGTCGCAAAAAGGTCAATTCAAGATTAGTCTCGAAAGCCAAGCATGGCCCTTAAAAACTTACACAGTATATTTGCACTGATTTAATTAAAGTGTTATTTTCCGTCAATTATGTTATGGCTGTGATAAAAAATAAGTGTAGCTAAATTCGTCTTATTGCAACAAATTAACTAAAAAACTCTTCTATCTCCTGTCAAATAATTGTGTTAGTGATTGATAATAAGACCGCCATTACACGGAATGTATCTTAAATATAAGAGATCAATTGTTCATACATAAAAAAACTATATTCGTTGATATCATGTCAATCATTCCATTCTACTATTTATATATTTTTAAGGATATATAATCGTCTTTCGCGTAGGGACTCTTTGTTGCCATATTGCGAATAACTGTAATCGTTAGGTATTGTTTTTGAAACCTCGCAGTGGCCATTGTATTGTATTAGGGGCAATGTCTTACGCCATGGCCTGCGAATAACTGGGTTTGCAAAATGTCGGTCTGATGCGTATCCGAACGGTCTGTGGCGAATTCACGGAAATTCGTAAATTTAAAATAACTTTGTATCTATTACCAAACAATAATTGTCTTTGCTGTTACCATAGATTATTTTATTGTCTACGTTTATGTATTGCGCAATGATTATCTGTGGGAATGTTTCAAAGATTTATAAATTTTAACATACAAAAACCGCGTTTTTTAATAACTAATTATATTTAAACAGAAATAATTGGACTTAAATATTAATTGTTGTTTTAATTATTAATTAAAATTTAAGATAAACTTTGTTTATACGGAATACTAATGATTAGCACAGAGCTTTATACGACGTAATTCTAATCAATGTCATTGGATTTAATTACACTTATTTTATACGTTCTAAAAGAACTCAATATTAAAGAATGTCAATCTAGATTATATCTTTTGTCAAACACTGTTAAGTAGTTATTTCTTATTATACACCCTAAGTGTGACCCTGCAAGTCAAAAACGTATCTGATTTTGGGGCCATAGTTCATGCTATATCTCGTCTCTGGAACTCACCCTTAGTATAAACCCGTATGTCAGACGTATGGGATTTTAGGGACCATAGTTCGTGCTAAGTCTCGTTTCTGGAACTCACCCTAAGACCCCGTATGTCAAATATGTATTGGACAGCGCCAAGTCTCGTTTCTGGATTAAAGTTATCCGTAATTTTTAAATTTATTTGGTTTTAACATGTACCATAGTCTTTGAATAATTTTATAGCATTATATTAACAAGTATGGAAAACAAACTTGATTTCCGCATAACTAAATACGACATTAGTGTTACGTAACGTCGTTGAAGTTACTTTATATTCTTGTTATAAGTTCATATAACTTTTCAAATAAATCGGTCAATGTCAGTCCCCGAATACCCGAAGACTTGAGATGTGACCAGTGTTTAAATTTTTATGAGGAGTAAATTATTTAAAACGTAATGTAAAAATAACATATTATTTATTTTTTATGGATGGTAACCTCCTAACTTTATAGTATGTAATTAACATGATTCCACTCCGATGTATATTGTGTTTGATAATATACATCGGAGTGGTTATACCTGTGATTTAAGATCAAAAGTTTATAAGTTTTTCTACTAAAATTAATTATAATTATTACTTGTTAGTTTCGTTGTTTAGTTTTTAAATATCTGAAAGTTGTCTTGAACATTCGACTTCCAATTCCAGAATTTTAAATGCAAGACAAAAAATAATTATACATTCTATTAGGACTAATAACGGATAGCTTCCTTTTCGTAATATGTTTAAGACATAAGTGTATTTAAAAACCTCATTATACAGCAACAAAACAATGTATACAATTAAAAAATTAATGTTATAGCAATTGACAATAACTGGTATCAAATGACGGTCAGGTGATAAACAAAAACCAATGCGGTATAAGCCAGATACAATATTGAATTTAGTCATTACAGTACAAGTGGGAGTTGATTAGTTGATTAATACCTTTCGCTGATTGGATTTTTAATATCTCCGTTGCGTGGCTACTAATGGTATTTATTAATTATTTTCTATAATAATCTTTAAGCTGCTTTTCCTTATTATTCGATGCAACAACGTTTAGTAAAAATTTTAAAGCATTTGCATGCACGCGTCAATGTCTTTACGGTCAATACCGACATTTAATACTATATTTTGATCGTTTGAAAAACTTGTCCTTATCACTCTTGTGTTACTTAACAAATGAATAAACGAGACAAAACATGTCGTATTCAGGATTTTTACGAAGAAAACTGTTTCTAATAAATTTAAATCATCAGCCATAATATACATACCATCATTATATTATTGAAACTAAAGTCTAAAATATGTTTTTCCAGAATCGTTCTGAATCCATGGCATCCGTCTACTCGGGTGCAGGGGAAGGTCTTCGTGGAAGTGTGACTGTGAAAGGAGAAGTCCAGTTTTCACTTCTATACAACTACAGATTAGGTGCTTTGGAGGTTGGAGTGAAGAGATGTCGTGATCTCGCCCCCATAGATGTCAAACGGAACCGGTCTGATCCTTATGTCAAGGTATGTTCGAAGTTTAAAAATATTAGTAAAAACCTATCTATTAAAAAAGGCTACTTTTGTTTTGTGACTTAGTTGGTCAAGTATACATTTATATTTAATTACATTTTATTGGTGAAACAATACTTAATTCAGATCTGGTAACACAGTGGGCATTGTCCTATGTAGCAATTATCATAGACAATAAGAAGAAAAAGTTCCCATCAGGTTGTATAATGTAGAATATTCAGTATGAACAAGTATTTGTTGCATTAGTTTAATAAAAATATTTTGTCTCACACATGTGCAGTTAACAGATTGTGTCGACCGTATCATGATGTTGTAAACTCTGACGAATATTGTTGAGCCAAGCTTTCGTCAATTTCCACTTTAAGGTCTTAACACGATGTTTATATTTTTTAATGGACTTTTGTTATAATTCCGCGTAGTTATCTTGAATTGCTATTTTAATTCTATAAGTTTCCAAGTAATAATTTTTAATTATCATGTACAATGTTTGGAAATACAATAAATGTATTTAGATATTAGATTATAATAATTTACATATAAATTTCGGTGACGATAAAACTAATCGGAGATGATAATACCAAAATGCGTCATCGACCAACATAAAAAGATCTTCTAAATAGATTTTAGTATTTTGATAGCCTTAATAAGATCTATCAATCTAAATATTCCCCAACAACTTCCAGGTGTACTTGTTGCCGGACAAGTCGAAAGCTGGCAAGAGGAAGACGAAGGTGAAGAAGAACACCCTGAACCCCGTGTTCGAGGAGACCCTCTCGTTCGCGCAACCGCTCGCCTCGCTGTCCTCTCGGACACTGTGGCTGAGCGTGTGGCATGCGGACATGTTCGGCCGGAACGACTTCCTCGGGGAGGTCTCTCTGCCGCTGGCCGACGTCGTGTTCGACGACCCCGCGCCTATGTGGTACCGCCTGCATGAGAGGGTGAGTTATGGACGGCAAAAGGGCCCGAACGTTTATCAGAACCTATAGTAGAGTACAGCTGATTGTTCGCGTTATACTGTGTCAAAACTAGCACAGTTCAAATTGTACCTGCACAATGTCGTTAAGGACCAGGGCCGTCTTAAACTAGGCTGGGGCCATTGGGCACTCAAGAATTTGGGGCCCTTTTAGAAAGTAAAAAAAAGCTAATTATAATTAAAAAAAATAGTAAGTATGACCATTTATTATTAGGTCATCAAATACAGTACATATGATATATTATGTCATTAATGATATTAGAATGCTACTGGTTTTTTGGTTACGATTACGATAACGGTTTCTTTCTTTCGAGATTTCTGTTGTCCTTATTAATTAGTACAGTAGATATAGGCGCAGTTATCGATATAATGGCGTAGTATATACCTTGTAAATACCTTCTGATAAGATTACTGATTTGTGAAAAAAGTGTAATGTGCCCGTCAAAAATGTTTTGAGTATAAATGCGTGAGAGAAATTGTCGGTCCTTTGGTGCCCCCTGAGAATGGAAAGGCCCTGGGCACGGGCCCCGTGTGCCCTTATGGTGAAGACGGTATTGACTTAAGGATAGAACAGCGTAGATGGTCGTGATTAGAACTAAAGCATGAACTTTGTCAGCTTTTGAATAACATTGATATAAAGATATAAAAATCACAGCAGAAAATAGAAATACTCGCTTTCCGTATCAACAATCTACATACAATTATTTTTCTATACTTTATTCGGTATAGGTACATCGCTTTAACGTAATAGAATTAACAAGTTTATCATACAATTTACTTACAATATTTACGAGTTTTAGTTTTAAGTAATAATTTAATTTCAGACGGAACAGTTTGATGAACAGCAAGGCACCCGAGGTGATATCATCATAGGGTTGAAGTTTGAGTTACAAGAGACAACTGCAAGGGGCAAAGGAACTCTACATGTACTTGTAAAGGAAGCTAAGAATCTCGTAGCTACCAAACCCAGTGGACTGACAGATGTTTTTTGCAAAAGGTAACTTTTATTCGTAGTAACATTTTCTGTTGACAAATTTAAATATTTTATTGGCATTCAGAAATAAGGAAAAAATAGAAATGATTTTAAAACCAAATTCTTGCGATGTTGATAACACCTATTAAAACTATTGACTGCGTGATATGTATAATCGTATCTTTATTCTTTTAGCCGCTTAAAAAACAGGATTATTTGATGCTTACAAAAATACTTGTATGTAAATATTACAATTTTATCATAACCATTAGTATTGAGTATTATATTGACGATTCATTGGTGCATATTGTGTGCTATTGTGCCGTTGTAATAATTATTTTAAAGACAAAACTCATAATATAGGACGAAGATAAGAAGGACATAATTTAGAAGAAAACACATTTAAAAATCAAATAAACAAAAGGCAATATTATACCAAAAACTCTTCAAAATTCAATTGTTCAATGGTTTTAAAACGCATGTATTTTCTTTTAAATGTGTGATTAAAACAACATTCTTTATAATAAAGTAAATTTGTCATTTATTTGCAATTCCTCGATACACAAAATACATCAAGTATGTCAGTATATTTGCTATTTATTAGTGTTAATAAATCACTTTTCACGAGTCATGTTTTCAATTAAATGTTTTATTCTAAATAAATTTTTACTCTCCATGTATATATTACCACGTAAAGAGCAACGCATCCATAGCCTTTCGAATGAAACATTAATTAAGTATATATACAACATTAATTCGTTCATAGAAAGTATTAGTTTTCTAACATGTTTTTTACAGCTATCTACTGCCAGAGCGTGGACGTCTCGCGAAACAAAAGACAGGCGTGGCGCGACGGACATTAAACCCACGATGGGAACACACCTTTACTTACCGCGGCCTCACACTACAGGATGTGGCCTCGCGGGCCCTGGAACTCAGTTTGTGGGACCGAGACCGGCTGGCCTCAAATGACTTCATGGGTGCTATTAGGCTCTCACTAGGAACAGGTTATTAAAAACTTTTTTCCTCCATTTTTTCACTTTAGTATGGTAGCAAGTTTAATTAAATAGATAGTTTAGAATAGTTTAGAAAGAGGTTAAGATAGGTGCATATCTTAACAATATGGAACTCTCAATACTCTTAGAATTCGTTTAAATGAATATAACTATCCTACTCTATATAAAAGGTTTCTTTTCTAAAACAAAAATACTTCAGTTCTAAATTAAATATTTTAAGTTATGTATGTTTGATGGCTTATGTTTATCCATCTACAATGTAAATAAAGCTTATAAAGTTTAAAATATCAATTAAAATTATGTTTCCAGCCAGATATACATAAACTGACGTCGTTATTGGCGCTAAATAGTGAGCATAGATAACAAAGTCAACTATAATGTTATATCACGTTTTCCTTAGATCCTTCATATTTATGTATAAAAAATTCAAATTTTAGGCTTTTAATTTAAGGCATAAATTTCCTTACAGGAACCTACATGGGGGCAAGTGTTAACTGGATGGATAGCGTCGGTAAAGAAGTCAGTTTGTGGCAGACCATGATGCAGCGGCCAAACTTCTGGGTCGAAGGATGCCTCCCTCTAAGACCACAGCTTAACAACAATAACTAATTCTCACTGCTAATGGAAATCGCCCCAATTGTCTATTTATAATACTGTAAACCAACGAATTCTAGGACCAAGATTTACTTAATACTCTTTCGGAGCAACTAAGTGCCAATTTACAATTTCTAATGCAAATTTCATTACATTCCGGCATTGCGATGCTTAGTTTAAACGCCTGCTAGGTTAAGTTATAATTTACGCATTTAAAATAAGACTTGTACAAATTTGAAACACGAAATCGTCGTGGCTATTGTGATTTAATTATTTTACTAAAGCCTAGATTTTATTGTATGTTTGTGGACATTTTAGTGTTAAACTGTTTTATAACACGATAAGATTTATTTTAAGAAGGCAATTGTTTGTGCCTTTTATTTTATAAATACATCTATTTTTTAGAAAATAATGTAAAAGACGATTTAAATAAATATTTTTACTACAAAACACTGTCTATCAATTAATAACAACTCAAGTTAAATTTAGTTTTTCAAGTTTTCGCTCGCTTAATATCATTATATCTAAACGGCGAGATCACTTATAATTATTTAAATATTAAATACGTAATATTATAAATGTTTCATGAGGTGATTGAGGAAATCCGTAAGAAGAGAATCTCAACTTAGTAAGACAAAATCGCTTCACGCTGAACGCTTGTATGTTTTTACATTAGAATTTCGATATGAGACTTGAATAAAGATTTTAAATATGAATTCGTAAACAAGATTCTAATAACGCCCTAGAGGGCGTAGACGTTAATGACGAGATATCAATACCGTTTTTAACGGAGTTTGAGTCAGGTTAAAAAACTAATTTTTATTGATTGTGACTTCAACCCAGTACAAAAGATGTCGCTATTAATTAGGTGACAATAATGAGTTTTTAAGCTCCAATTACGCGTCTAAACATCTATCAAAAGTGTAATGTAGGTTGTTTTTATAAATAAATAATAATATAAAAATTGCATTTCGTTATTTAGATGAACTTTAAACTAGAAAAGAGTTTGAGATAGAATTGTAATAAATATAACATCATGTTTAGGTTAGCGCCATCTAGTTGTCTTTTTATTTTTTAGGGCCCTTGCATTCCATTATGTTCAAATTTATGTTACTTTAAATAATTATTGTATCTATGACCGGGTAGATGGCGTTGACAAGCTAAAGGTGGATCGTGACAATAGTTTGAGGTTAACATTAAGTACTTAATGTTATTATCTCTGCAGCTCCATTGGAATTACGGTAATTTATTTAAACATAATTCATAATAATTTATACAATATTTAATGCTATAAACATACAAAGGCTTAAAAATAAAAATTGTCCTCCTCAACGTGTACTTATAAATTAGCAAAAAGTATGTATTTTTTTACCCAAATTTATCGTAGCTGGTTTTGCTGCTAGTCAGCTTAATAACTATTCTAACCATTTGTTTGCGTTTTAGAAGGTCACAAGTTCGACTACTGTAGGTACCAGAAATAACTCCATCCTTCAGAACCAACATTATTGTCGTAAGTTTTTACACATTTACCAAACTTACACCATAACGCAGTGTTTTTACCTAAATTTTTAACGAATTTTAAAATGTAAGTACACTAAAAAGTCGAAACCCAAAATAACAAATCCATATTAACGACGTTTGTTAAGCTCTCTCTTTTAATTATATTGAAATGTACAATATATATTATATATGTTTAACCATTATAAAATCCTTATTTTTAGGGGTTACGAATATTAGCCTAAATCATAGACTGCAACATCACAGCACACTTTACCTCTTTTCTACGCCGTAGAAGTTTTTACTACGCATCGTATTCTTTCTTGTTGATTTAAAATTAGGATATATATTTATCTTTTTTTTTCTGAATATTCTTAGTGGCAGCGAAAAAAACCAGGGACGCTATGTTTTAAGAACTGGGCCTCCGATTTTTGTGTCTGTTTCGTGATCATTTGTTTCCTAATAGGCAAGTAGACTTTGTGGGTCTAGGGCATCCTTTCCTTTTCCGTACGACCGATTGTTAATTACGCACATAGAAAATCCATTGAACCTGATGTCTTAGGAATGCGAGACGCACGCTAAGTGTCACTTTACCAACACTTCTCTTGTTTCAATGTTGTAAAAATAACGCCGCTTCTCTATATGAGGTTTTAAGGTTAAGAACTAAATTTTTTGTAGACTTGCTGTTTCACAATTTAACTCTCAGTGGCTTAAAAATGTAACCAACCGATTAAGTCATGTAAAATTCGCAATATGTTTGATTAAACACGTGCACATTAAACGCGTCAATATAAAAATTCTTAGAAATTACTTCAATTAATTATAGATTTGAAATAATATTTTTTTTAATGTCTTTATTTTCATTATAACACAATATTTCCTCCTGTTACATACCATACTTACCTATAATTGCTTATATTATACGTAAGAAATACAAATAATTTGTATTTTCCAGTCAGTCTCAGTGTTATTGCACCGTTTTAAGTAAAGTAAGTACACTTTTGTCTCTTACCATAAC